TTAACAAAAATTTTCTCACTTAACAAAAAAAATTTTCATTTTACACTGTGTTTCATCAACAAAGGCTCATCTGAAATGAATGATCAAATTAATAAAACTTCAATTTATACCAAAAAATTAAATTACTGGAAGTCGAAAATGTTTTAACTACTGTAAATTTTTACACATTTGTGGAATATACTAATACTATTATAAAAAGAATTCTTTAGAAATGATTACTTATGCTTTTTTTTTATAAAAATATTTTTAAAAAAAAAAGGTGGGATGGAGGGATTTAATGTAACTATTATTTGAGCTCACTTATTTTTATAGCTTTTTTGGAGAAACTTATTTTCGTCCCTGCATTTAGAAATCAATTCTGATTTTTTTGTTTAACAAACATTCTTGGTTTGAATGTGTAATTATTTGAAATTTTTCTTGTAGACATAGTATGCATTTTTTGGAAATATTGTTGTATGCAGGCGCGGTTTTAAGGATGGACCAATTCAGTATAAAATCATCAATATTTTTATCTTTTAGTTCCCATATATATTTTGACAGCATGGTGTCTTTTGAATTCTTTTATATACAGGGCCGACGACACGAGTTTTGAAGTGGGGAGGGGGGAGAGGCACAATCATCAATTTGTGAAAAAAGTCCTCTATACTAAGATTTTTCTTAAAAAAAAAAAAGGTCTTTTACAAAAAAAGTGCCCCCCCCCCACCTGTGTCGGCCTGGCAATAATATGATAACTAACCATAAAAACCCATTTTGTTATTTTATTCCATTGATAGATATGCTATATAATGTTAAACAGTTGTAATAACAATGTTAGTAAACAAAGTTATGCTTACAAGATAAAAAGAGAAAAAAAAGAGTACAATAAAAATTAGACAAATTTTAAATTTATAAAGATAATAAAACTTCACGAAAAAAAAAATAACAACTAAAATAAAATAAATAAATAAAACTTTAAATAAATAAAACTATAAAAAAAAAATAATTATATTTTTTAATTTAAAAATTGTTAAATTATACAAACTTTCTATTTAAAGAAGATCTCAAAAATACTAAATAAAGGTACATACAAAAGTTTGTATATACAGTGTATATACAAACCTTTATTCAGTATCTAATTCACAATTAAACCCATAAATTCTTTCCTAACATAGGAATTGTCGATAAATCTAATTACTAAAGACAATTGTTCCTGTTTGGAACAGTCAGATGCAATAACTGAAAAAAAAAATGATTTTTTATTTATTTCAGAAACCAAAATATTCTGGATGTACTTTCCATAACAACTTATCAGTTCATTATGTGACGAATTAGAAATATAAGATGCATTCTTTGCACAGCTGTTAAGATAAAGTTCAAGAACTTTATCCCCACCTCTGATTCTGCAGTTTAAAAGGTCAATAAAATTACCTACTCCTACTAAAGAATATTTGCAAATGACTATCACAATGACCTTTGAAAGCTATATTAAGTCGGCCTAAGAAAATGATTGAGTCAACAATTAGATGCAATTTCTCATGATTTAAAGCAATGTAATTTTTATACTTTTTATTAAAATATCTATATTTTGAATATTTCCATTCATAGTATTTAAAACTGCAGAAAATATGGTCCAGGTATTGTAATGTAGAATTTGTACTGTGTAATGATGTTCATAAATATTTCTGCTGAGTAATGTTCATAAATATTTTCTTTATTTCCCATGATAATGTCTATCAAAAGTGCTCACAACATCTGGTCAGTATTTGAATGGTTGAGAATACAAATTTTTACATCTAGAAGCTATTGAAGGGTATTTATATCAAAACAAAACGCAATACAAACAAAATGCTTCATCTTCAGAAGGTGAATATCTAAGCCATGAAAATTTTTTTAACCATAAAAGTTTGAAAGGTTGCCCATTTGTTTTTGGAAAAGAATAAGTTTCATCAGGAACAAAAACATTTCGAATCAAAATTTATATTTGTAAATCTTTCAAAGTAGAAGCCTTCAAACGGAAACATGCAATATCATATTCACTACAGGGTTCACTTTCACATTTCTTTTAGCTAGACTCTGGTCCCAAATTTTCTGTGGATAAGATGCTTTCGTCTTTAGTTTTAGAACAATATTCATTTGAAGATAATGTATTATTTGAATAAAATAATTTTGAATCATTAAAAAAACCGCAAACAATATTTTTATGAGAGAAAGACATACACTTTTTGTTGACAAGATTACATGAAACAGTTTAATCATTAATGATAGATATAGATGGTACCTCATTTATATTATATTTTTCTGCAAACATATAAATTGTTGATTGATTGGTAAAATTAACCTTTTCACAGATTTTACATTTCAAACATTTCTTATCAGTAATGAAAACGAAAGGCACATAATGATTGTGTTTATATGGACATGGAGGGTTTATTCTCTCAAAACAAAACAACAAATTAACAATATCTGATGATGAACATAGAATACGAGGTTCAATATTAAGATTAAACAAAATTTTATATTTTAGGAGAGAACCAATTGTTCTATAGTAACACTTGAACGATGTATGATTACTGTAAAAAAAGGCATGTAAATATAAATCAATTAATGTCAGTATTCTCAAATCAATTGCCAGACTATAATTCTTAAATCAATTGCCAGAAATATACTACATATTTCATTATCACCACACAGATAAATCGAAAATGAACTAAATAAGAAATTGCCAGTTGATTCAGATCTGTAAAAAAAAAGCAAAAACAAATATTTTTAAATTAAAAAAAATTCTTCAATAAAAATAAAATTGGATTTAATCATATATTTATAATAAACCAGTTTGGAAAAAATAAACCAATTAGATCAAAGCAAAAAATATATTTCATATTATTACTATATAAATTCATATCCCCAAATGAACAAACGCAGGGATAATATGTTTACAAATTTTAAATGTATTCTTTTATTTTACTTGTTGGGATAAATAAAGTGAAGCTTACTTCACCGCCATAGTTGTTCTTGACTCCTGAGGAATGTCGCACTCAACAAAAAAATTTCTCTTTATTGACTTATGAACAACCAACAACTGATAAAAATCTGGCTTATGAAGGAGATTAATCTTTATTGACAATTCTGAATAAAGAGTTTGTAAATTTTCGATAAATCCATTCTCAACCATACAGATTGTAGACATGCCATATCAAAAATTATTTAAAAGTTATTTAAAACATTCAAATAATTATCGTAAGAAAAGGTTTCTTTTAAATTAGTCAGGGGGTAATCGTCATATATTTAATTCGACTAACTTGGCCTGAAGTTACGCTACCTAACGATGAAAATAAAACAATTTTAAGTACTTTAACAACTTTTTGAAATCTCGTCAGCCGAATAAACAGGCCAGATAAGTCACAAGATTTTTTTGACTAACTTGGCCTTAAGTTACGTTACCGAAAAACAAAAATTAAAAAAATTAAAGGATTTAAATAATTTTTTGAAATCTCATCAGCCGAATAAACGACCCATATAAGTCGCAAGATTTCTTGACTAATTTGGTCTGAAGTTACGCTACCGAAAAAAAATATTACGAGCCGCTTCTTGACAGGGCTATTGCGTGCGCATATACTATTATGTATTGCTGTTTAGACCAAAAAAATTGAGATTTTATTTAATTTCAAAAATCTTAAAAATATACTACATATTTCATTAGCCTGATCGTTATTTAGTTTAGTAAAAAAGATCTTAGTTAATGCGCCTAACAAGACTAACCCTAAACCCGCCCCTGATTTACACCAACTGTTTTTGCGAGTAATGCCAATTATTTTTGCTGGAAAATGCTAGATGAAATAAACTTGCTAAGGCTAAAGATTTAATACTCTTGTATGTGCTTTTGACAGTAGTATAGCTTTTGTTATTACCGTCACTCAATTATATCGTATACCGTAAGTTAAATTTCTTTAAAGAGTGATTAAATATCTTTATTGCACCAGCTGTTTCCATTCCACTGGCTGATCCTTCATAGTTTGAAGCTTGAAAAGATAACTTATGATAAGAAAACTTAGAACACTTTTTCAAATACGTAATTTTAAAAAATGGCTTTTGAGATAGGGTACAGCATTTCTGACAAAGTTGCAAAAAAAAACCCCAGAAATAAAGCTAGACAAGATGTATTTATTCAAAATTCGTCTGTAACTAGGGGTGTTGCTATGTAAAATTGAAATTTTATGGTCGTTCAAAAATGTAATTTATTAATATAAAAAAAGTAATTTTTGAATAAGATTTTCACCGTTAGATTTCTTAATAAATTTACTTTTCATTTTTCTGAAAAAAAAAAGCCAAAAAAAAAATTTTTTTTGGACAGGTTTTTCCCCTTAAGTGAGTGTTTTTTAAATATTTCTTAAAGTGGTTGCGCATTTTATTTACAACAAACTGAGCACCAACGAGGGATTTGCTCGGTTTGTTGTAAATAAAATGGCCAAAGCAAAGAGACCACAACTAAAACAAAAAGTCTGCTTATCAACGGAAAGAAATGTTTCTTCAAGTTTGCTATACTTCTTAAGAAGTTGGAAGGTAGACTTCAAACACATTAGATTTTTTATTTACTTACATTGCATGTTGATTTCTTTTTCTCGTAGTTTAGTTTCGATTGATAGATTTTAATGCTACTATACAAAATAACAAAATTTAATTAAACTTTGAAATTAAAATTTTTTTGTTAACATCAGTATGAATAGAGAGCCATGATGCAGCACACGTTCGAATCAACTTTGATTTAAAACAGAATGGCTTTATTGTAGATGGCAATAGAATGACTTTATGGTTCGCAAGTCACAAAGAAGAGCTAGCGCTCCGATCAAAGTTTATCGGGAAACCAAGACTTGCAAGTTTTATTTTCTTTTGGTCGCTACACTGCATATTTCCCGGTACTGGGAAATATAAAAAACATGACTAATATAGTACACTTGGTGGTTCGCAACTCACAAAGAAGAGTTACAGCAACTGAAAAAAAGACGGTAATGACTTGGTGGTTCGCAACTCACAAAGAAGAGTTACCGCACCGATCAAAATTCATCGGGAAACCAAGACTTTTATTTTCTTATGACCGCTACACCGAAAAATAAGATAAAAAAATAAAACATGGCTAATATTATGCATGCTCGCATCCTCTCACATATTTTTGGCAAAGTTAATGTTGCGACATTCAAGTCGTGTTTTCCTTTGACTAATGAAGTTTTAACCAAAAGAAGTTACAAAGGAAGTAATAGATATAAACGAATGAAAGGAATTAGAGACAAAGAAAGATTGGATAAAGAAATGCAACAAAAGTATGGAATAAGTAAACCTCAATTTAACTTTAATAACTGGATGAAAAACAATTATTTAAACGAAATTAAAGCATTTCAATTCAGGCTTAATACTCATTTCAAGGATGAAGGTTTAATGATAAGTGCTTTAAGTCATTCGTCTTTCGTTGATGAATTGAAGTTATTTAATGAACAATTGGTTACTTCTAATGAATTGGGAAAAAAATTTGAAGATAATGATTTTCAAAAAAGACTTGATTTGAAAAATCTTATGTCTAGTATATCATCTGAAAAACTTGCACTAGTTGGTATGGAATTAAGTATTTCTGTTATAAAAACTGCACTTTACAAAAGATTTCCTAATTTAACTGTTCATGCTTGCAATGATATTATAAATTTCCTAATTTCACGCAGTAATATTGTCCATCTTGCTAAGAACCTTGCAATTGAAGAGCTTCTACTTCTTTCAAAGGAAATTGAAAATCAGGATGTAAATGACCAGTTTTATACCAATTTTATAAAGGAAGATTTTATTAGTGATGCATTTTTTGCATTAATTGGTGCTATTGAAATAGATCAAGGTTATAATGCTTCTAAAAAATTTGTTGAGGACTTTGTTGTTGCTTTAATAGATCAAGAAGAACTTTCTAAATATATAAAACTTGAAAATCCTAAACAAGAGCTTGAAAGTATTTTACAAATGCATGGTATTTTTTGTAAACCGGTTGCTCGAGTAATTGCAGAAACTGGAATATCAACAGATTTTCCTTTTTATTATGTTGGTATTTATTGTGATAAGTTTAAGATTGGAGAAGGATCGGGATATTCAATCCGAACTGGAATAAGTGATGCTTTTAAAAACTGTGTTTTTAAATGTTTTGACCAAGAAGTAGATTTTAAAGTTATACAACAATCTTTAATATAAATATTTTTTTGTTTTTGAAAAAGGGCTTATTGCTAAAAGTTTTTACTGATTTTCATAATTTTTTAATAAAAAAGAATTTGAATAGAATTAAAATATCTAACTCTCTCTATATATATTTCTCTCTCTCTCTCTCTCTTTCTCTCTCTCTCTCTCTCTCTATATATATATATATGTATATATATATATATATATATATATATATATATATATATATATATATATATATATATATATATATATATATATATATATATAGAGAGAGAGAGAGAGAGAGAGAGAGAGAAAAACCTTCCTGCACAGTGGTGCAGGAAGGTTTTTAAATGTTTAAAATAACAAACTTATAAACAAACCGATTATTCCAAATTTTTTTACGTTTATATGTATGACGAAAAGATTCTTTTTAAAAAAAATTACTGTTATAGGAGAATGAGAACAAGAACCCTGAAATCTTAGCCCCCTCCCTGCCTCAAACATAAGAGCAACAAGTTGATGAAATATTTTTTATACTATTTTCAACTAGACTAATATTCATCAAGAAATTTTAAATTTCGTAGTAAAATATTTTAGTGTTCAAAAATTATGACCATATAAAGTTTGCCACCCCCTCAAATTGAGGGGGTTTAAATTTTATATGGTCATAATTGAAAATAGTACAAAAAATATTTCATTAACAAGTTGCTCTCACATTTGGGGCAGGAGGGTTAAGATTTTAGGTTTTCTTGTTTCCATTTTCCTATCACAGTAATTTTTTTTTAAAAGAATCTTTTCGTCATACATATAAAAGTAAAAAAATTTGGAATATTCTTGTTGTTCTTAAGTTAGTTATTTCAAACATTTAAAAACCTTCCTACGCTACTATTCCTACTTTCATATGTATGACGAAAAGATTCTTTAAAAAAAAAATTACTGTGATAGGAGAATGGAAACAAGAAAACCTAAAATCTTAACCCTCCTGCCCCAAATGTGAGAGCAACATGTTAATGAAATATTTTTTGTACTATTTTCAATTATGACCATATAAAATTTAAACCCCCTCAATTTGAGAGGGTTGCAAACTTTATATGGTCATAATTTTTGAACACTAAAATATTTTACCACAAAATTTAAAATTTCTTGATGAATATTAGTCTAGTTGAAAATAGTATAAAAAATATTTCATCAACTTGTTGCTCTTATGTTTATATGAAATTTGGAATATTCTTGTTGTTCTTAAGTTAGTTATTTCAAACATTTAAAAACCTTCCTACGCCACTATATATATATATATATATATATATATATATATATATATATATATATATATATATATATATATATATATATATATATATATATATATATATATATATATATATATATATATATATATATATATATATATATATATATATATATATGTATATATATATAAATATATATATATATATATATATATATATATATATATATATATATATATATATATATATATATTACAGTAAAGGCTTAAAATTTACAGTTTGTGGTTAAAAACAGTTTTTATAAAGTGCACTTTATATAGAAATCATTAAATTTAATCGAGGAAACTAACTTGATTTTATCATTTTTTCAACGTAGCTTAATAGAATGAAATGTTTTTTGTTTTTTTAATAAAAATAAAAACGTTTTGAATGTTTTTATTATTTTACTGTTTACATACATTGACTGACAAATAGGTTGAACATGCTAGAAGTGCTACTATATTAACTGACAAATAGGTAGAGCATATAAAGAGTGCTGCTACATCCACTGAGGGTTTTTGTTTGGACAATCTATTAATTAAGAGAAAATTTGTTTTTTTTTTAAAAAAGAAAAAACAATTTTATATTTAATATTATATTTAAAAATGGCCAGGAGTGTCTGTATATATAAAACACACACATTTATATGTATATATACAGTGGTTTTCATAAATTTAGACGCACTCATATTTGAGAATAATAATTTTTAGTTTTTCAACGATAAAACAATGACGAAAAAAGATTTTAGTTAAGTTTTTTTTCTATTTATTAGATAAATACATACATAATACAAAATTTAAAAAAAGTTTACAAAAAAAATGAAATACTAAGTAATAATTAGGTACAACTACATGGTATTAAAAAAATTAGACAAAAAAAATTATTCATAAATTTAGACGCACGATACATTAGAAGGCGTAATTTATGAACCAATCAATATTTTGTGTATCCGCCTTTTGCTTTAATACAACTAAGAACTCTTCTAGGCATAGACTCAACAAAATTTTTGCACATCGCTTCTGGGACCCCATACCAGTTCTCCTTATAAGTAGTTCCTTCAGCTAAGTAAGTGTGGAAATTTGAACCTTTGCTAATTCACGGTCAATCCAAGCCCAAATGTTTTCAATCGGGTTTAAATCAGGTGAGTATGGAGGCCACGGTATTGTCATGAAACTATTATCGTTGAACCACTCCTTTGCATAGTATGCAGTATGTGCAGTAGCGCCATCTTGTTGAAGTTTCCATGGTTTATCATTGAGCATAAGCAGGTCAATTGATGGAATTAAGTTGTTTTCCAGTACTTCTACGTATATTCTGGAGATGATTCTTCCGGTGTATGTTTGGCACATACCAACACCTTTGTAATTGAAGCATGACCAGATTCCTATTGAGCCTCCTCCACTTTAAACAGTTGGTCTAATGTACCTGGCATAATACTTTTCATGAGCCATTCTTTTGACTGTTATGTTAGATTTGCGATTGATAAGCTCAAAGTTACTCTCATCACTCTACATAATGTTTTCCTATTGTTCTATTGTCCAATACCTTCTTTCACGACACCATTTTAGTCTCCTTTGTTTATCATATGGACGCAGAAGCGGTTTCTTCAAAGCAGTGTAGACTCCAATCTTGTTTTTGATAAGTATTCGGCGGACTGTGCTTTGAGAAATAGATGTATTTCGCGTTGTATTAAATTCTGTGGTTGAATCTCTGTAACTAATTCTTGGATTAGCTCTGACAGCTCTAAAATGAACACTATCGTCCTTTCTGGTGGTTGACAAGGGTCTACCTTTCCTCGTTTTTTCGCTGGCACCACCAGTGTGAAGAAAGTTTTGTTTCGTTGTCCGAACGCATTTCTCAGAAACTCCAATTAACTTGGCGATTTTTTTATTACTTTTGGTTCCTTCTTTGATGTGCGCATTAATTTGCCATCTTTCACCTTGAGTAATACCTCTTTTGCCCATTTTTCGCGTCTTTTTAGTGCGAAACTAATTTAACTTTTGTTTATTTATTAAATAATGATTAACTAATTCCAGGTAAGTCATATTTATATAAGGTTTTTTGACAGAATCAATTACTTTAGGCCTATTAATGAGAAGTATGGGGAAAAAACTACTAATTAACTATCAATTAACAAGATATAAGACTTTTTTGATTGTGCGTCTAAATTTATGAACAAAATAAAATCAAGCTTATCAATTAACTTTTTTGTGTTAATCGGTATAGAATAAGTAATAAACATCCTGTAAAAAAAATTAAGGTACTCTTTAATAGAGTTTCACTTCCTCTTGTAAATTATATATCAAACATAGCGGTAGTACTTTTATTTTATTTTTATTTTGAGTATTTTCTTACATATATGAAAAAAAATGAATGCGTCTAAATTTATGAAAGCTACTATATATATATATATATATATATATATATATATATATATATATATATATATATATATATATATATATATATATATATATATATATATATATATATATATATATATATATATATATATATATATATATATATATATATATATATATATATATATATATATATATATATATATATATATATATATATATATATATAAAATATATATATATATATAAAATATATATATATATATATAAAATATATATATATATATAAAATATATATATATATATAAAGCAGCCGTGGCGCAGTGGTAGCGCACTTGCCTCAGAAACGTAAGATCCGTGGTTCAAACCCCACCTCTGGGCAGGTTTTGCGACATCGGTTGGGAAGGAGGCGTGAACTTCCTATTAAATGCTCTTCCGCGGTGCTCTGTGATAAGACCGTAAGGACTTCTTGGGGCACCTAAAATCAACATAAAAAAAAACAATATATATATATATATATATATATATATATATATATATATATATATATATATATATATATGACTTAGCGAATGTCCGAGTTAGGCGAATCGTTTGGTATGTATAAATAATTCAAGGGGAATTGAAAATTTGTCCGACTTAGTAAAAGTCTGACTTATCCAGGGTCCGAAATAACGGGATTCAACTGTATATATATATATGTAAATATGTGTGAGTGTGTGTGTATATATATATATTTATATATATATATATATATATATATATATATATATATATATATATATATATATATATATATATATATATATATATATATATATATATTCTGAGTTCAATCCCCACCTCGTCCGCGCTCGACTTCTTTCTCTGCGCAGCGCCCTTGTTCGTTAAGGTTCATGTTTTGCAGTTAGAGTTAATTAGGGTTGTAACTACAATAAAGTAGCCTCCTCGTCTGAAGTTGCCTTCTCGGCCTTGGGGTGAATTAATAAAATAAATAAATAAAAATATATATATATGTGTGTGTGTGTGTGTGTGTGTGTGTGTGTGTGTGTGTGTGTGTTGTGTGTGTGTGTGTGTGTGGCAGAGTTAGCAAAAATCTGAGTTGACCCTTAAGTCAGTTCCCGAGAAAATCGCAATATACCTCTAAAAGCTTATAACCATGGGATTCAAAAAATATAAAAATTTAAATCATCTGCCTGCGTGCGAGAAAGAAAATCAATTTTGAAAATTTCCTTTATTGCACAAATATGTGAAATGAAAGCATGCCCCAAATTTTGCATTTTTACAGTGTTTATCAACAATAAAAATTTATATTTATTCAACATGTTAGATTTCATAATATTTTATACTATTAAAAAGTATCAAAAATTCAGGGAAAAGGCACTTTTTCCGAACGCAAAATCTATGAAGAAAGCATTTTTGACGCT